CCTCATCCGGCCCCGCTGCTCCGGGCACTGGCTCAGTTCTCGCCAGGCCCCGCACGCCTGGCGTCGAGTTAGAGAAAAAAGCAAAGGTTTGGGGGTACGGGGTGCAACTTTAAATTTGTGTCTCAGGAAATTCAGAGCTTCTGGAGTCAACATTCCATCCTAATCCTAAGGTGGTCAGTCGGCTTCCGAGCAACAGGTTTGAGAACAGTGGTTTTCTAACAGCAGTGTGATGGCAGCCTTTGGAGAGTTGTGCTCTGGTCCCGGAATCATTTGGGGACAGCTGCGCGAGATGGCTGGGGTTTCCTCAAATGCAGATGTTTGAACGGCAGTTGGGTAAACAATGCCTTGGGTCCTTGGACATTAATTTCAATCGGATTTTCAGATGGAGCTCCTGTTGTTGTTCCCCGGAACACACTTGGAGAACCATTGAGTTAAGGATGGTTGGTGAAGTGAGTGCCCTCTTTAGGCAGATGTTAATGGAAGTACAGCTAGGAGAGTGAAGTGGCTATTTGGTTGAGAGGCTAATTTTTTTCCTTTGTTCTTAATATGAGGCTAATTTTTTTCCCTTGTTCTTAATATGAGGAAGGACTGGAAAGAAACTTTGTTTTTAGAGGGCATTGGAAATGGTTGGTGGGCTGATGAGGAATACTGATAACTGTTCTCTCTTCCCTTACCTAGATTTTGAGAAGAGAGGGAAAAAGGAAGTTTGTCCGGTCCTGGATCAATTTCTTTCTCACGTGGCCAAGACTGGAGAAACAATGTGAGTTGAAAACATATGCCTTGTTATAGACCGATGTATCATTCAGAATTGTTTGGGAAAGGGGGAAAAAGTGTATTTCAGAAGAACTGAATCTGTGTAAAGCCCTAGTCATTTAAAGCAGTTATTTAGTGCATATATACTTTATGCATGATTTGTAATGAATTTAAAAAATTTGTTAAACTTTTTAAAATGTATCTTATGCTTTGGTACATTTGGAAAACGTAGTTGTCTGAAAGAGCCAGAGGAAGGGAGGATGGGTATTCCGTTTATGACCCTTTTTGGGCCATAACAAGGCTTATTTCCAGGATTTTGTGGCTTGATTCTATTTCAGATTCTTTTGTTGGTGGTATTTTCTCATATCGTCCTACATCCAAGCTTTTGTTGTCATATTTATGCATGTGGGTATTTAAGGTGTCAGTTCTATATATTCTCTTCAGAAACCAGGGTGATAAATCTGGCAGATTCCAGATGCTATAGTTTTGAGTGTCCTGTAAATTTTCTAGGATAGCTAACTTGTTATATCTGCTCAGCATTTTATTAGGCTTGTTTCCAAATGTTGTAAATCTGAAACTTAGACAATGAAGTTAGTTCTGTTTTCAAAAGGAACATTTCATTGCATTGTTGTGTATTTGGTTAGCAGGAATTGTTTTCACACTCTGTCAAAGTTAATTCCTAGAGAGCAGTGTAGTTTAGGTGACTTTCTTGTAGTTTTGTCTTTGGATAGGGAGTGGGGAGCTGGAGGGAGAAAGGTTTCTTTGGATGCAAGGTTAATAAGTGGAATTTCTCTGGGCTCCGCTACTTCTTGCCTATTTTAAAATTTTCTTTTTGAAGTCTATACTCTAAGAATGTAAGCTTCAACAAGTGGTGAATATTTTCTTTGGCTTTATTAACAAACTAGAGGCCCAGTGCACGAATTTGTGCACAGGTGGGGTCCGACTGGGTGCCTTGATTGGGGGTGATCAGGGGCGGGGCCAGCGGGGGGAGAGGGGACGCAGGAGGTTGGCCAGCCAGCCCTGCCCCCTGGTCGAACTCCTGCTCCAGGGGACAATTTGCATATTAGCCTTTTATTATATAGGAGGATGCTTGTTACTCACAAGATTTGCTTATGGTTGTAGTGTAACCTTAACTAGCCTAATTTTATTTTTTTAAACTATATTTTTATTGATTTCAGAGGGGAAGGGAGAAGGAGAGAGAGATAGAAACATCAGTGATGGGAGAGAATCACTGCATGCCCCCTTCTGGGGACCGAGCCCACAACCCAGGCATGTGCCCCCGACTGGAATCGAACCCGGGATCCTTCAATCCGCAGGCTGACACTATCCAATAAGCCAAACCAGCTAGGGCAGTGGTCAGCAAACTCATTAGTCAACAGAGCCAAATAACAGTACAACAATTGAAATTTCTTTTGAGAGCCAAATTTTTTAAACTTAAACTATATAGGTAGGTACATTGTTATTCACTTAATCAGGGTACTCCTAAGCTGGCCTTTGCTAAAAACATCCTCAATCTGATTGAGGTACGTTCCCTGAGGTCGACCCCTTCCAACTCTCCCATCCACACTCGTCTTGTATACTTGTTTCATCTATCTCCTTCCATTCATCCTCTCTATACGTCCAAACCATCTCAACATACCTTTCTCAATCCTCGACACTACATTTTCTTTCACTCCACAACGTTCCCTAAAATTAACTTAATAAACTTTACTTTTGTCACCCGTGCGCAATTTGCAGACACGACTAGCACTAACAACTGCACGATGAGACTGCTGACTGACTGGCTCACTCAACTCGTACATGAATCACGCGCACCTCCCCCGTGCCGCGTCTCCCGTCACCGGACTGATCGACACCCCCCCACTTCTAATGCCACTTCTTCAAAATAGACTCGCCCAGGCTGAAAACCGACTTCTGCGCATGGGCCACGAAGTTTCAATCGCACTGTATGTGCGCGCCCACACGTGGTATTTTGTGGAAGAGCCACACTCAAGGGGCCAAAGAGCCGCATATGGCTTGCGAGCCACGGTTTGCCGACCACTGAGCTAGGGCATTAACTAGCCTAATTTTAGGAAGAAGAAGAAAAACTCGTTGCTTTAGTGGTAACATGCACAAGCTGAACCTCCTTAATGCTTTATTAAAATTACCAGCCAACTTAACACATTGCAGACGGATCACGAGAATTCTCATGTTTTCTGTTCTAAGGCTTGTGGCCAATCACAAGAATTCTTTAAAATGATATTAGCTTGTAAGAACATGTAATAAATTCAAAATGCAATGGGTATTTAATTTTAAAGCGTGCCTTTAACATTTATGTAAAACGTTTTTTGTACTCATTCAGTAGAAACGTATCTGGCCACTGGGTAAAGCTAGCAATAAAACTACTAGTCCGCAATGTGTTAGGACTGTGATTATGATGTGTTGTTCAGTTTTATATTTATGTTTGTTGCATTTAAAAAATGGAATCATTTAGGTTTTAGGGAAAAAAGTCATTATAGTCTCTAAAAAATTTCAAAATAACTGACTGGTGGCCTTATACATAAGCTTAAAAATGAGTACATGTCCGGTTTCAAAAATAAATTGATGTCTAAATCATAAATGCTTAGATTGCCACTATTTCTTTCAAGTCGCTGTTTGGTGTATACTTACCCCTTTCTACAAAAAGTAGTTTTTACTTTCAGAGTTTTGATACACAAGATTATGTTTAACTATTTGGAGATAAATACTTTAAAACCTCTCCCATTATTCTGCTTATCAGGTCTGTACAAACTGCCTTCCCTTTTTGATAAAATACATTGGTCATAAATGTATAAATAATTGAAAGTTTCTAAAATACAGCTTTTTAATATCCTGACTGGATTACCAAGTGGCTAGATGAATTTAACCTGATGTTTCTAGACAATTATTTTGTTCTTATTAGAGGACTTAAACAACGTGTCTCTGCCATCCCTATTAGGTATTTGTACATTTATTTTAAGAGTATTTTGTATTAAAACTAGAGGTCCAGTGCACAAAATTTGTGCATGGGTAGGGTCCCTAGCAGACGCTGGCCGGGGCCTTTTTTCGTTCTGCGCTGCCCCCTGGTGGTCAGCACACTTCATAGCAAGCGATCGAACTCCCATTTGGTCAAACTCCTGAGGGGACGCTTTGCATATTAGGCTTTAACATATATAGACTAGAGGCCCAGTTCACGAAATCTGTGCACTCGAAGGGGGTGTCCCTCAGCCCGGATTGCGAGAGGGCGCAGGCAAGGCCGAGGGACCCCACCGGTGCACTATTAGGGCCGGGGAGGGACCACAGGAGGGCTCCAGGGCGTGTCCAGCCTGTCTCACTCAGTCCTGATGGGCCGGACCCCAGCAGCAACCTAACCTATCAGTCTACCAGTCAGTGTCTGCCCCCTGGTGGTCAGTGCACACCATAGCAACTGGTTGATAGGTCGGCAGTCTGCCCTCTGGTGGTCAGTGCATATCATAGTGGGCGGTTGAGCAGCCTTAGCATATCATTAACATATTACGCTTTGATTGGTTGAATGGCTGACCAGACACTTAGTATATTAGGCTTTTATTATATAGGATAGGATGATTGGTAGTGGTAGGTTGTCTATTGAGTATGGAAACATTTTTTTAAATTTATCTTTTAAGCAACTGATGTTTATACATTTAGCTTTATTATACATTTAGCCTTTGTTGTTATTTTTTAAATCAACATGGGTATGCCTTAACTTTTAATACTGAAATTTGCAGTTTCTGTCATTTATGGCTAAACTGAGCTTTGTCTAACTTCTAAGGTTATAACATAAAATGAAAATGTAAAGAACAGGAAGTCAGGTCTCATGTTTTAGGATGGATGAGTTGCTTAAGATAAGAATTCTATAGTTCTGTTTTTATTCTCAATAAGATGCATCATTAACAAAAGAAATATTACAAACTTTGTTTATAGAATGAAAATCAGTCGGCAAACTGCGGCCTCTTGAGTGTGGCTCTTCCACAAAATACCACGTGTGGGCGCGCACGTACAGTGCGATTGGAATTTCGTGGCCACACTCAAGGGGCCAAAGAGCCACATGTGGCTCGCGAGCCGCAGTTTGCCGCCCACTGGCCTAGGCTATTCTTTTTTTTTTTTTTTAGTTGATTTGACCTTTGTGTTTTTAGCTTTAGAGAGATCTTAGTATTATAAGTACAGGTTCTTACTGAGGAGGAGGTTGGTGGAAAATTAAAAAGCTTTGGAACAATTTTCCTTCCTAGTCTATTAAAAACTACCTGTGAACATCTGTTGTAGGAAGTTGGGGAAGATGCCAAAACATGGGGTACCAAACTGTTATGAAGAGGGAGATATCTTCTTATCTGTCTATCCGTAAGAATCCCCAGGTTGTTTTTGGCAATTTCAAAAATACTACTTTTATGTTGAAAGGTTACTTTCTTCTGAAAATGGAGCGACACTTTTCCAAAGGTTACAGTTTTTAACTTAATAAGTGCTGAATAAACAGAAACGTGGTGGTTTTAATAATGATATAAATAATTTGATGGGTTTTAGTTGCAGTTATTCTTCTTGATAATCAAATTGTCTCTTTGGCCAGTGGGAACCACTTCTAATTGATTTTAGAGTCTTTTGCCTTGAGCATAATAGTCTTTGATAGAATCCTTATCTGTGGTATGAGAATATGTTCTAAGTTTATTTCCAGCCCCAGACCTGGAATCAGCCATTTCTTGAAGAAGCCCTGTCTTCTTTTAGTGGAAAATAGAGCTTAAAGACTACAACCTGGGTGCTAGAGATGCTTATTATGTTGAGTTGATCATTCTAGCCCAGTGATGGCGAACCTATGACACGCGTGTCAGAGGTGACACGCGAACTCATTTTTTTGGTTGATTTTTCTTTGTTAAATGGCATTTAAATATATAAAATAAATATCAAAAATATAAATCTTTGTTTTACTATGGTTGCAAATATCAAAAAATTTCTATATGTGACACAGCACCAGAGTTAAGTTAGGGTTTTTCAAAATGCTGA